TTTTTTTCCTAGTTCATCCATAAACTGGTCTAGTTTAGATTTGGAGCCATACCATAGCATTAATACATCAAATCTTCCCTAGCATATCCCTCGTAAACCTTGACATACGAGGGTAAGGTCACTACTAGGTCTTTTTATTAGGGAGTCAACATATTTCTGCACTCTTTATAATGGCCGTTTTACTGCAGACACAATAGACCTTTTAGGGGGGTTGACAGCATTTTCATGTCTTTTTGGGGATAATATTGAATTTTGGGATATTATATTCACCCATACTCAAATACTTCCGATCCTTTTTTAATAAGATCAGCCTCATAAACAAAAAAAGTTTGCTACCAGAGAAGGGAACGGGTTAAACTTAAGTTTTTGAAAGGTAGACTGATCTGCTAGTTGCCTTTATACTTCCCTTTCATAAGATTCCTCCAATAGGAGGACTACATTGCCTCCCTTGTCACTTTTATTGTTCACTACATTCCTAGCCCCCTTTAGCTCTTTCAATGCTTTTCTCTTTTTCGGAGTAAGGTTATCATGTGAGCCTATATCACTATCAACTTTGGTTAGGTGTAAATATATATCGGCCACCCAGCAGTGGCGTAGTCCAAATCAGAAAATGGTGTGAGCCCTTTTAAATTAGTCCATATGATTATTCACTGAGATGTTGCTAAACTTTGTTTTTATATGGTCCAATTTCACTATTATTGGCTGTCACAGTGATCAACTGATTGAGAGACCTTCCATTGGGAGTTGTCAAGACATTATGTTTATAGTGCTGTGAGCATATGATTGAATGTGTTCCTGACACAAAACAGCATATATGTGGCAGAACAAAAACAAGCCTGTGCTGCCACACACTGTATATGCATGCATATGGCTGGCACAACAGGGTCAAGGAGAATAATCAAGAAGATCTCTTATGTCTATAAGCAGGACTCCACTTACCAAGTCCTTAACAGTCCTTAAGAAAAACTAAAAAAAAAAAAAAAAAAAAAAAAGGAAATTACAACCCAGCTCTAAATAAAGCACTAGAAAGCATTTGCCCTTCTCTGTCTCAGCCCAAAGTGTTCCCTTGTAAAAATAGCTTCATCAGGAGTATACAGATAGCACTGATCCAAATCACGCTTAAAAACATTAAACTTGTCAGACCCACAATGGTAGCCATAGGAATGTAAGGCATTAACACCACAAACAACACAGTAAGCAACTTTTTTAAAGTATACTGTATGTGTCACTTATGTTTCCAATGCAGGTAGCAGCCTAGAACAAAGCCTTGAATTCCCTGGGCTAATATTGCACCATCCATTCATAATAAAATGAATACAACATTCATACAACATCCATAATACAGAGGCCTATAGTACTCAAAACATTTCATAAGTATATGGCAAAAGCAGAATAATTTAAATCCTGTTCTGTATTCAGTCCCATGAATGTTAGTTTGTCTTGTTGATAAATTAATTTAGTTTTCATTTGGGTTTTTATCTCCATGTTGAAATCAGATCTTCTTCAGTTTCTCATTACTTTATCAATAACACAAAACCTATTTTATACCTATGCAAAATGAGGGAATAAGCTGTGTTTGCTAAAACCCTTTCAGAATTATCCAAAAAACATGTAGATAAGGTTCTGGTGGTAGGTCCCACATATTGTAGGCCACAAGAGCATTCCAGCAGACAGACAGTAAACTTACAAACATATAATAATTCAGTTAAAGTTTAATAAGATGGAAAACAATATTTTGAAAATAACGGTCATGCAACATATAGAAAATACATATATTGCAATGTCTATTATTACTAAAATCCCAAATCTAGGCATTTTTGTTTTTTATAGAGTCCCCATTCAGTGGTGAAAAATAAAAATCAGCTCTGGCTGAAATACTCCTCCCCTTTCTGGTGCAGTAATTAAGTTTGACCAACAGATGCCCAGTATTTTTTAACTAAGGCTATTCATTACATACAGAGCATCAAGAACCCAGCTGCTTAAAGGGAGTCACCACAGCACCCTTAACTCATAGTGTAGTGTTACATCTGAATCATTGAGAACCACCCACTGCTGGGAGATTATCTAAAGAGGAAGAGTACCTTACACATCATGTTACCAATCTGAAGGCTTTCGGCAAGCATAAAGAAGCAAAATTATAGCAGAGGCCTCTGGAGGGTGGTGGGTAAGAAGTTAGTAAATGTGTTTCAGGAGGTTGTTATCAGCCCAGCTAGCCAGAAGCGAGGATTCAATACACTGACACATTTTTCCTGTGCCCATCTGGCTGTGGCCTCATCCCAGACTGAACAACCAGAATGTGGCTCATTAAATGGTAGACCCTGTTTGGCTTATTTAGAGGTCTATATAATGAATTTTAATATTTATTTATAAGGCTACTATAGACAGTAAAATTAGTAGTAGCTATACATTCATTTTTGATCTTAGACTTAGTGCCATGGTTGGTTGAAATCTACACAATTATTAAATTTAGGTATTCAGATGGATTCTGAATGTCTGGCCCAAAAATACTTGGTAGCTTGATGTGTTTTTGTCAGGCCTGTTTGATGTGTCACTCAAACAATGGCTTAAATACCCAACAATACATGTCTAACATGTTAAAAGATTATTATATTTCTAAGACATATATGATAATTTGGTGATTGGGTTTAGATCTACTTTAAACACATTTCTGAGCTTGTAAATGTGAAATAGTGGTTATTAATGTAAGAACTGAGCATAACCTGCTTGTCACCATGGACAATAGGAGAGCTTCTCTTATGATGGGGGAAGAGTCTTGGGCCATATACTGTATTTGATGTGTTTAAGGGAAGAGAAGCCTAAAGAGTCATGTGAAGAGAGAAGACATGACGTTTTCCCTAGGCAGGCAGAGCAGTACTCAATTCAGCAGATTTTGACCAGGGTGCTTCAAGTAGCAGAACAGAGTGCTCCGTTGGAAAGCATGTGTAGCAGTGTGAAGTCATTGCCCAGTAGCCCTGTGTCACTTCCTCGTTAGTGCAGCATCTTATGTGGTCTGTTCCTCCAGGCTATGATGACTGTCAGGAATGGGCTCAGCACAGGTGGTGCTGGGGCTCACCTGCCTTGTGGGCTGCAGTACCAGTGCTGGCCAGCGGGTGCTCTCAGCAGCCAGAATCTCACTCCTGCAATCAAGCCATCACCTGAGGCTGATTGCAGGAGGTGTATTTAAGCAATGGCCAGGCCTGCAGTCAGTGCCTTGGTGTTTGTTCCCATGAACCCCTGTACCTGCATCCTGCCTGATATTCCTGCCTGATATTCCTGCCTGATATTCCTGCCTGATATTCCTGCCTGATATTTCTGCCTGATATTTCTGCCTGATCTGAAATCTGCTAGAACTCTGCCTGCACCGACCCCGGCTATTCCTGACCACTCTCCTGCCTGCTCCTTTGTACCTTGCCTGCCCGATAGTTACCGACCCAGCCTGCCTGACTACGTTTGTGTTCACACACATACTGAGATCTGTTGGAGGTTTGGTTCCTGCACTTTGTGTTTGGGTGTACTGTGTAGCTTTTAATAAATTATATTGTTTTACACCATACTTGAAGCGTGCGTTTCCCTGTGTCAGTCCACACATCTCTGGTCATACCTGGAGCCCTGACAGATGACTATCTTGTCAAGGACCATTAGTTATTTCTCTCTTTGACTGTCTCAAATGTGTCTGTTTGTGCTATGTAAGCATTTTCTAATCATACCTTAGGACTTATGGGTCTACAAAGACTACATGTAATAGTTGACATATGTATATTAGTACATAGGATTAGCACAGTTGAGTGGACTGCTTGCCAAACAGCATTGCATACCAAGAGCAGGTCACATCATTCTGGCAAACTGATGCAGAAAGTCTGGAAACATGCCCAAGGCAAAATAATGTCCGTTTGTATGTTTTCCCAAGAAGGTTGCAGGTGTGCACACTTCACTAAGGATTGGCAGCTTTCCAAAGTGAAAAAAAAATGTTCATTCTATGCTACCTTGGCACTTCTTCTTTGTTAACGGATAGTCACTACTGGTCAGGAAGTCAATTTTATTTGAAGTATGAAAGTAAGTAATGGAGGTACATTAATATTTATTCATTGTATAATTAAAAACTATGATATAATGAAATCTAGTGATGTAATGTTCCCACTTAATAATCCACTTCCTAAACAATATTGGATTTAATTTCCCAATCCCCTCATACTGCAACTTTATGTCAGAGAGAGGTTAATAATGTCTGAAATCTGGCCAGCAGATCCTTCCTAGGTGGCAATAATTAAGATTGAATTTTTAAACTTAACATGATTCATGCCCTAAACGTTATCATATATAGGATATGTATTTAGCTATGTGCCTATATCAAGGCCTTTTCTAATACTGGTCAGTTTAACAAATATTCCCTACATTAGTTAAATGTTAGCATCCCTTAATAATGGGAGGATGTCCTTAGTATATGTTCTTAAGGAGTGTGTCTTTAACCATTAGCCTACAGGGTACTTATACCCTCTTCCTGGCCAGGCCAATTTCCAGCTTTCAGTACTGTCTCACTTTGAATGACAATTGCGCGGTCAAACAACACTGTACCCATATGAAATTTTTATCATTTTTTTGTGACAGATAGAGTTTTATTTTGGTGGTATTTAATCACCTCTGGGTTTTTTTTATTTTTTTTTAAACAAACCAAAAACCACTGAACATTTTGAAAAAAAAAATGTTTTTTCTTAGTTTTTGTTATAAAATTTTGTAAATAAGTGATTTTTCTCCTTCACTGATATGCGCTAATGAGGCTGCAGTAATGGGCACTGATAGGCTGCACTGATGGACACTGATAGGTGGCACTGATGGGCACTGATGAGGAGGCACTGGTAGGTGGCACTGAAGGGCATTGACAGGCATCACTGATGGGCACTGAAAGGCAGCACTGATATATGGCACTGATAGGCAGCACTGATAGGCGGCACTGACTGGCACTAATAGGCGGCTCTGACTGGCACTGTTAGGTGGCACTGACTGGCACTGTTAGGCGACACTGACTGGCACTGATAGGCGGCACTGATGCGCGCTGATAGGCAGCACTGACTGGCACTGATAGGTGGCACTGATTGGCAGCACTGATAGGTGGCACTGATTGGCATTGATAGGTGGCACTGACTGGCACTGATGGGTAACACTGAAAGGCAGCTCAGAAGGGCACTGATATGTGGCATTGATGTGCACTAGTAGGCACTGATATGTGGCACTGATGGGCACTGGCACGAGGCACTGATGAGCACTGGCATAAGGCAGTGATGGACACTGACAGGTGGCACTGCTGGGGCTACACTGATCATCAGGGCACACTGATCATCAGTGCTCTGATGATCTGTGTACATGTCTCCTCCGCGGAAAGCCAATTACTGGCTCTCCTCTCCTCTCGAGCTGTCAGCGTGACATCTCCAGAGCAGAGGAATGCCGATAACCGGCATTTCCCTGTTTACATGTTTCCCTGTTTACATGTGATCAGCTGTGATTGGACACAGCTGATCACCTGACTGAGCCAACATCTTCGGCTCTTTCCGTGATATCATCTGATGCACTTTCAGTGTTCTAATGAGGAAAGTTGCAGTGCCTGCTTCCCCTTAGAAGTAATTTACCCTTAGAAAGTATCTCACCAAAAATATAATTTCTATTGCAGAGGATGCCTAAAATTTTACTGGTAGTTTAGTGTAGACTTTTGAGAAAATCAGTGAGCCAATCAGAGGCAGAAAATGACATTCTGGGGAAGTTACTGTATGTACACCAGCTGTGTACAGAAGGCCTCCGAGTTTCCACAGTGCATAAAATTTTACAGAAAATTACAGCAGCTGGTGACTGAAAAGTAAAGGTAATTTTAATATCTTTAAATTATAATATGACTTATGTGGCAATTGTACATATTATCTTATTTTTCATTTGCTATATTTGTTCATGAAATTGGAGATACTATTTAAATATCTTCAAGATCTTTAAATTAAATATGAATCAAAACTAATGAACTTAAAACAAATATCCTCAGATAAGTCATGCCTCATCTGCTTACTCCAAGTGTTGCTTTAACCACTAGATGCCGACCACACACAAATATGCAACCTCACTGCACTAGGCCTTATGCCGTGGGGCCACATGTTTGCGTATCTCCCTTTGTGCATGCTCCAAGCACAGAGACCAGGGTCTCGCCATGAGCCCTGGGTCCCGTACTAATGATCGGGACTTGGAACTCCTGATTTCCACCTGATTGCTGTGATAGCATCTGATTGGCTATTAGAGTGATCAGTCACTGTGAAGCCTGCCCCTGTGTTTTGTATGTTTGAATAGAGGAGAGAGATACATTGTATTTCTCTCTGTCCTTTCAGAGAGAGGAAAAAAAACAACAATGTGTAAAATAAATGAATAAATAATAAACAATAAAGGAAAAAAAGAAAAAATACCTAGATCAAGGTTTGATCTAGGTCAGTGTCAGGGTTAGTTTTTGGGTCAAGTAGGTATCAAAGGTCAAGATCAGGGTCAAAGGTCAGGGTCAGTATATTTTGGCAGGATTTTATTTGTAATTAGTGTCAGTGTCAGTGTGATTTAGGTAGGACAAAAAAAATTGCAAAATACACACTATTTTTTCTGGGCTTTACTACGGGTACAACAACAAATAACATATACATGTATGGCATCGTTGCAATCATTAGGAGTGGAAAAATTTATTTTAGGTTGTTCTTTGATGGTAGGTTATAGTGGTAACAAGAAATTTACAGCTAGATTTAAAAATATATTTTTTTTACTATTTTGGGCCAAGTTTCCTTTGAAAATAAGAACAAATCAGGAGATATCCATTGCCATTCACCACCAATTGAAGGACCAATTTCTCCTGAAATAAATAAGGTATAATTCACCTGAATGTCCAAAGTATTTGTGATGATATGTACGGATTTACTAACACATGTCACAGTTGCAAAATTGTGCTTAGGCATTAGGATTTGTTTTACCTTTAGGCGTGAAGGGGTTAGTTAGTAACACTGTTTACTTGACAGGCTATACCAGTTACTCTAAAAAAAACTTATCAGAACTGTGGTTCATATAGTGAACTCGGTGTAGAGTTATTCACCCTGAGGTCATCACAGGGGACAAGGGGGCACTCTTTACATCTGGAGGAAAAGAGATTTAATCTCCAAACACGGAAAGGTTTCTTCACGGTAACCTGTGAAAATGTGGAATAGATTCCCTCAAGAGCTAGTTCTGGCCAGCTCAGTGGATTGCTTTAGAAAAGGCCTGAATTCTTTCGTAGATACACATTATATAATTAGATACTAACATTTATAGGTAACGTTAATCCAGGGAACATCTGATTGCCTCTCAGGATCAGGAAGGATTTTTTCCCCCTTCAGGAGCAAATTGGATCATGGTTTTCTGGGTGTTTTTGCCTTCTCCTGGATCAATTGTAGGTATAGGATCATAACTTTTTTTTTTGGTTGAACTGAATGGACTTTGGTGGTTTTTCAGCCAGACTAACTATGTAGCTATGTAAGCTCCCATAAAAGGTTTGCACAAAAAATCTTTTATATATCTTTAATTATATGTCTTGCAGTGGGTTCAAAGCCAGGAAGTTTAAAGCAGAATTAAACCCACCAATTTAAAGCAGAACTAAATCCATCGAATAACTGTTCCCAAAAGTTACATTCAAGACATGCCATGACTGATATTTGCTAGTGCTCTCAACCAAACTGTCGAGCCATCAAATAGCTGGTGCCATAACTGATCACATTTGCAGCACCATGGCAATGACTGATCAAACAGACGGTAAAGGTTGAGAGGGTTTAGTTCCCCTTTAACGTTTTTCAAAACAATTACATTCAAGGTATGCCTTGAATAACAACTATTACAGTTACTAGTGTGCTTATGTTAACTTTTAACTATACTGTCAAACCACCATGGTGTTATAGCTGATCACATGTGCAGCACCATATCAACTGCAGATCAAACAGAGGCTAAAATGACAGCATCCTTGTTTAATTCAACTTTAGCATATTCAAGTGATGCCTGCATAGCTCTGAAACATGTCAGGAACTTATCAATTTCATGTGCATGTGTAATTCCCCCAGTCCAGAAAAGACACTTTAGGGCTCTTTCACACAGAGCTGCTTGCTCTATTCAGCAGTGGATCCACTCATGGAGTGTTTTGACATCCATGCCCATTCAGTTTGTGTCTAGCGGACAGGGATAAATCCACGATAGCTCTAAGGGTGACTGAATATAAACAGACTTGTCAGATTACTCCAGGCTACCTCTGATTCATCATATTTAGGTCCAGAATTAGGTCCACATTTCTTTTTGGGTTTTTTTCTGGACCTGGATGGAGGTAAGTTGGTTGGACATAAACAGACACAACTCCATTTGCATCAGCCTGCCCATAGAACTGCACAGAGCTTCTGATCAGGTCCATCTGAAAAACTGCTTTATTTTACAAGTTTAACCTAAAGTGGGGGTCATATCACAGTTAATTGATCTGTGAAGGCTCATTCCTTACAAAAATTGACGAACCAGACCTCCTGCCACCAATAGCTCTTCAACCACTGACACCTGCAGTGTAGCATGGCATGTTCCTACTCTCAGTAGTTTACCACAAAGTTTCTGCTTAACAATTGCTTTATCTTTTCAAACAAACTGATTTTTACACCTTCTTAATCTCAACAACTCTGCATCTCTATCTATTTTTGTGGCCCTTGATATCTCTCCAGAGCCTCTTACTAGCAATCCCACAGAGAAAACTTTCCACTGCTGCAGTGATGCCCCCAGAGAGTTAGTCATAACATGTCAGTAGGTAAAACAGACCTGTCACCCTCTTACTTTAATACATTAATGATTTGTAAAAGTTACAAGGTTTTGTTTAGGTGAACATGAAATAGTAATCGCTAGTTGTAGAACATATACTCCTTAGCACATTTGGATTGTAAAACTCTAGCTGATGAAACTGATGTCTTTCTTGATTATACTTTCTATGCCGTCAAAATTCATTTAATATATTATTTATGGTACCAATTACCATTGTACTTGCTTTTGTCTAGTGATCAATTACTATAGATTCCCAGTAATTTGATCCCCTGCAGCTGGTATACCTATAAGAGCATATTTACACATTTACATGGAACATTAATTTTTTATGTGTGTTTCTGAATTTATGTTTCAGTATTTATGCTTGATTTTAACACCAATTTATGCATCCTTTTCCAAGCAAAAAAAAGGAGTAGATCTACTCTCTGTTAAAAACTTTGTGTGTATTTATTGAAGTGTGTTTCACAAGCAGGGGAACCGGCTTGTGCATGGAATATCTCAATCATGAATGAATATTTATCAATACAAAAGATATACAGAATAATCAGCATCCAAGGCCTTTGGAATCCATAGACCCGATAACACATGTAAAGTATCAACAAATGCTGATACTTTTAGATGTATTGCATCTCCAAAAATGCACTTTTTCTAAACAGGATTTGGGAAGGCAAAAGAATAAAAATGGATGTAGAACTCCAATCTAAAGGGCAGAGGAAAAGAAAATTAGGAATAGGAAGGAGTAAGAAAAAAGGGGAAGGAATTGATACCAAAAAGGTGATGTAAAAGAAAGGAAGGGGGTCCACTCTCCTCCATCCTGAGCAAGAAAGTCCATCGCAAGCTACTTAAAAGGTAGACACCAATTATTTATATTTGGAAGTATAGAGAAACTTATGCCAAGAGAACGAGTTTGTCCGAATTTTTTTTTGAGAGCCCATTTTAGTTGCTATTAGATTCTCTATCTTGCAAATACAGTATCAGTAATTTTGGCCAGCCACATGGCAGTGGAAGATATCCACTGTTGTTTCCAAAGGTGTGACACAGCTCTGTGCTGTGATAATTATATGTGGCAATATGGAACATAGATAAGATGAACTAGAAAAGTTATGAAGGTCTGTAAATTTCTGAGTAATGTAGACATGTGCATTTCATTTCATTACGATTAATGTTTCGGATGAAAATTTAATTTTCAGAGATTTGGATACGAATCTCTGAATGGACATAATAATGAATACAAAAAAAGTTATAACTAAATTAACAAATGCATTTGTTTCATTTGGATGACTTCCCATGATGTAATAGTCATTTGGGACCATAGGGAAATTGAAATGAATTAAATTTTTGAATTTGATCATTAAGAATCAAATAATCATTGGTTTAAAATTTTGTTCCATTCATTAATTCGGATCCACATTGATGCCTGTCAATATTGTCCATTCAGCTCATGCCATTTCTCTTGGTGGGTAAATCTTTCTGATTCGAATCTGTTTGATTCCATAACATATTAAATATATATCAATCTTCAGGAAAAACTAATAAATTTTTTTAATCCACCCAGACCAACGAATAAACAAAATGGATTCCGAAGATATGAAACAAATTCTGAAAATAAATCAGTTCATAGTTACATAGTTAGTCTGGCTGAAAAAAAAAAAAACAAAGTCCATCCAGTTCAAAAAAAAAAAAAAAAAAGTTATAATCCTATACCCACAGTTGATCCAGAGGAAGGCAAAAAAAACCCCCCAGAAAAGCATGATCTAA